AAACTTCACTGAACGCCAATTAAATTCCCCTTAAGATGCCGAAACGAATAAAAAGTAGAAAATCAAAAGAGCTTAGAACAGTGGGATCCATCGAACCCGAGCGGTTTGGTAATTCAGTCTCAGGGCTTCCGCGGATGTCAAGACCGGAGTTTCTTCCAGGCATCTCTTCCGGGGGGGGGGGGGGGGGGGGGGGGGGGGGGCAAAGCCCTCGAAAAAATTCTACCCCCCCCCCCCCCCCCCCCGAACGAAATGAAATTTATATAATTTATATAGAAAATATATACCTTTAACAGTGTCCGCCCCCCCTCCCCCGAAGAAAGTCTACCGCCGCCTCCCCCCAGAAAATTTCAAGTGCCCCCCACCCCCCCCCCCGGAGAAAAAAGTCTGGAAGAAACACTGGTCAAGACACACACCCGACTCATAGGATTCACGATCGGATTTTGTCATTGTGGACGATACAACTATTAAGGAGGGTTCGGTGATTGCGCATATGAAACTGGTTGGGTTCGGTACTCCAAAAAGTTAAGAACCACTGCTTTAGAGTTATTTTGTAGAAGGTGCAAGCCTTATTTGGTCTACTTTTGGTCGGGTCTTTAGAAAAATTTCAATAATAGTAGGCCAATATTGCAGTTTAGAATTATCAGTTAGGTTGAACAAATTAATAATCAGTACAATATAGTAATTTTCTTCTCTCTTAAAATTTTGGCAAAGAGTGTCGCTTCACATCCACCCGCTCCGACAGTCTGCTAAATCTTTTTTATGTTACACAATAGTAAAATACTCTTTAGTTCAATGGGTTTCTTTTCTGGGTTATATCGGTTTATTCCTTAATCCGGTGTGAATTTTTCAGATTTTAGTCTTCGAAAAAGCGCCCCTCCCCCATCTAGTAAAGCTGGAAAGCGGTTTTTTCCTGTCACTGTTTCTTAAAGATATACGTTTTACAGTTACGCAACCAAGGTAGAAAACAGTTTAAATCAGTATGCAAAGGCTCCCCGCCGTTAAATTTCTTTACTTTGACTGTTTATAATGCAAAATTGCATCTTAAAATGAGCTTTTAATTTTTTGTTCTACCCTTTTTGGCGCCCCCCCTAGGGTCGGCGCCCGGGGCGGCCGCCCTCCCCGCCCTCCCCTAGCTACGCCTCTGCTAAGGCGAGATTTGTTTTTGGGTGTGAGTTAAGGGAATCTTTTGTTTCGAAATAAGCAAATAATATTAGTCAGTAGTGAGGATTAACTAAACCACACCTCTTTCGAAAAAATAACATTTTGAGTTTAAGGAGTACCCCTTTCGCGTTGATTATAGGACCATTAGTGATTCAAGTGTCCAATAATAGACTCACTGAAAATACGCGCGTCGTGTTGTTAGTAGTAGATTTTATGTAATATCAAGTTCGATGCTAAGGTCAGAAATTAGAGGTAAACGATGACATGATTAGCTAACACCCCTTTATTTAGAAGATTCCATTATTTTTGGCGTTATCTACACACAGCCGACTAATATTTTTGGATGGCACTTGTCACTCAACTAAAGAATGGAACCCAAATACGGTGCGGAGGGGCGAGGGGGTGAATCAGTTGGCCATTGACGGTAATTAGTGTTCCACGACTGACCGACGTTGCGTCACAGACGTGTTAGTCCGCCAGACGTGTCAACATCTGGTGTGCACGCGGACGTCAGCCAGTCGCAGACAAGTGGGTGTGTTTTTCTTTGACCGACATCTCGAGTCGCTTCCCTTTATCTGCTTGATCCGTGTGATTGTTGGTGATTGTTGGGGACCCGTTTAGGATCGTGGAAAGGCTTGAGCGCTAGGATTGAATTGTAGAAAGACTTGAAGGTACGGACTTAGACTAGGGATTAAAATATCAGGACTAAATTTTACGTGTTGTAGAGGGACTCAAAAATAAGGATTCTGGGGGGGGGGGGGGGGGAACTAAAGAGATAATTTTTACACCGGTCTCCGATAATGGAATCTTCTTTTTTAAAAAAATGGGGTGTTAGGCTACTGGTAGTTTATAACTAAATACACACATGGCTGGCTAATGTCAATGCTAACCCTGTCCCTAACCCTGGTCCTACGATACACCTAACCCTAATTTCTAACCATAAAATTAGTCAAGATTACAATATTACTATCAACCCAACACCCCTATTTTATGGAACAGTCTATTATCGGACACCGGTATCTATGTTCATCCGCATTGGGGAAGGGAAATCTAGATGGACCTTAATCGAAGTCAAAAGATTGTAGGGGACCTGAATGTTAGGATTGTGACCTACACCCATAGACGACCTACTGTATTGGATGTAAATTGCATTTGACGTACATCTAAGGAAATTGTATGCGCGGAGCTTTACTTTAATAGGTTATCACCGCGATAGTGCCTAGCGCCTGTCTGTTGTTTTTATTACGTGGTGTGATCATGTTTGCAGTATTAGTTATCTCGCGATGCTGGGTGATCATGTTTTCCGTGTAAGTGATCTCCCTTTGATTGTGACTGGCTGTACTCCCATCTGACTCATCTCAACAATAAGACCTCTGTGTACCGACCTCTGTGTACCGACCTCTGTGTGTTAAACGTTATTTCTAAACTAGAAAGATATACATTTTTGGTGGAACATTGACAAGTTTTGTGAATGAAAAATATTGTTCTTGCCTGCAATTTAAACTAAACCCTACTCTTGTACTGCTATCAATTTATTACTCTATTTATCATATATTAATAATTTCTTATCAGCTCTAATGCATCTGGAAACCCAATCACATCACCAATACCTTATTAAACCAACCATATCACCACCATATTAAACCAACCACATCACCACCTTATTAAACCAACCACATCACCACCTTATTAAACCAACCACATCACCACCTTATTAAACCAACCACATCACCACCTTATTAAACCAACCACATCACCACCTTATTAAACCAACCACATCACCACCTTATTAAACCAACCACATCACCACCTTATTAAACCAACCACATCACCACCTTATTAAACCAACCACATCACCACCTTATTAAACCAACCACACCACCACCTTATTAAACCAACCACATCACCAATACCTTTTTAAACCAACTACATCACCACCTTTTTAAACCAACTACATCACCACCTTATTAAACCAACCACATCACCACCTTATTAAACCAACCACAACAATAGCCCCATTGCCAGTACCAACCTACAACCACACCAACCAACCACCCTGCGCCATGTTAAACCCCAACACCAACCAACCACCCTGCGCCATGTGAAACCCCAGCACACCATCACCAGCCACCCTGCGCCATGTTAAACCCCAGCCACACCATCACTCAGCCCTCCCCTGCCCCATTAAATTGACTGCATAATTTCCAGGCAGTGAGTGCTGCTTGGCACTGAGGCCTGAATCAACTTAACATGTTCATTGGACTGTATCTCTTTGGCTTATCCAACTTTAGATAGTCTTCATACACCATGCTGGGGGGGGGGTGGCATTTTAATTATTGTAATTTATGTAATTCTGTCACTAAAAACAATGATTATGATAGTCATGCATTTGTGATTGAAAAAAAAAAGTTATTCTTATTAGTGGCAATATGTGGTTTTTTTTTTTTTTTTTTTGGCACATTTTTATTGACCAAATAAACTCAAAGCAGTATAAAATAATGTTACAGTGTCTTATAAATATATGTAGGCTTAAAAGCTTCAACTTCATATGTGACACATTTGTGACTAGAATTTGTAACTGTTTACTTTTACCTCCTGTTTGGATAGTTAAGTGTTCCTAGAAAGATCGTTTATTTTTTAACGCACTGTACAACTACCACTAGAACTTGTAGTATCCTCCACACTAGCATCCAACTGTTCCTATACAAGTTGCATGTTCCTCTAGACTTGTATCCCCTACACTAGCATCTGAGTGTTCCTATACAAGTTCCATGTTCCTCTAAACCTGTATCCCCTAAACTAGCATCTGAGTGTTTCTACAAAAGTTCCATGTTCCTATAGAACTAGAATCCCCATACACTAGCATCTGAGTGTTATCAGAAACACACACAGCACTGTACAAGCCCCTCCACCTCATAGCCATGAAAGTAAATTAGCAGGATTAGAGGAGGAGCAGAGAGGAGGGGAGGGGGTGGATAAGGAGGAGACATTAGCACTTGCCAGATAAACCCTGCAGATAACCATGGCCAGGTTTGTCATACACAAATGCTAATAGAAACAGTAGATTAGCCATGCATGAAACCTGGGTAGGGTTTCCCCAGAGGTCAGCTCTCCCTGCCAGGTAATGGCTGAAGAATTTCTGCTAGAGGACACTCATACTTTTAAAGTCACATTTTTACACTGGGTTTTCTTAAGCTAGGTTCTACTCTGATTTATCAACATTTTTTGTTCCTTAGATCAGCACTGAAATAATAACTGGAGGTGTTGGGTTTCTTATATTTATATGTATCTAAATATGTTTTTATATACACATTTACAGAACACAGTTATTCAAAGCAGTCTGATAACGTTTTTTTTTTATAATTATTTGCCTTTTCAGCAAGAAACAGAAATGAGTATATTTTGATATTTGAAATTAGTATCGCTGCCAACTATATGTATCTATAAACCTGTATAATGCACACTTGAAAGAATAGTTGTATCCAACGTTTTTGCTATTATTATTAAAAAGATAATTCCAAAACCCAGTTCCCATCGGTTCCCTACATACATCTTGACAGATATGGTTTATAAATTATTTACCCAAACTCCTACCTTAAAGATTTGAGTTCAAGTAAAATGATTCATGAAAGTTTTCTATGAGTGCCCTGACATAAGTTTAGTTTAGGGTATTAAACCTTTCTCCCAAAACACAAAAGTTGAATCTTGTGTTGAAATTATAACAGACAAAATGTACCTTAATTGTTTCTTGTCATATCAGTTGTCTGACCCTGTAGTGTCTGTTACAGGCTTTAAGATAGTACATTCCTATTTAACTTGCTCTTGTTTCTGTGTTTCAGATGGTCATGTCTAGGACAAGCTGACCCTTGGATATTACATTTTTAGGACAAGCTGACCCTTGGATACTTAGTATATTGTCTGCAACAAGCTGACCCTTGGATACTAAATATATTGTATATGACAAGCTGACCCTACACTATCTAGTCACTTGTACACGCCTACGCACTGCCTGTGTCAAATGTATACACATTTATTTGTGTATGTGTCCCCTAAATACCATAACCTACTGAGACACCCTACTGGACTGTTGGTCACCCGACCATATACAGCTGTAACTCATGTTTAAGTATGGACCACAATAACAGAGAAGCTGGGACCACGAGAAACTCCCCTGCAGTCAAAAACGGGACCACCATTCACCACGAGGATGAAAACGCCTCTTCGGATATGAATGAAGTAGATTTCGACAAGAATGAACGTGACTCCACCCACGGCAGCCCAAAATGTACAGAAAAACGTAAAGTGGTGAAGAAAAAGGTGTCCAAGCCGTCGGCCAAGTTGATTTTGGATAAGAAAAAGTTGGAGCAGTACATTGGGGAAGGGGAGGTACTAGTCCCTGTACCCAGGGCCAGGCGGAGGCTAAAGGGCAATGAACTTGGATATATGGTGAAACGTGGAGACGAGGTTGTCAGATACATTGACAAGGATGGAATTGTATACAATCCTAATGGTGAGTTTATTTTTCATTTTACACATCCTGCTTGTGTCATGGAAGGGGGGGGGGGGGGGGGGTTAATCTTCATTTCAACAGCTGTGTTTACTAGTGGCGTACATGATCAGTGTCAATTTCTTTTATCCCAAGTGTGTTTGTGCTTAAATTGTACTCATGCAAGAGACAACACCAGATAAAAAATATAGTTTTTTTAACAACTGAACATTTGCATTTTATTTTAAGGCTCATTTATTGAACTTGGTACAAAAATTGAGTGAAATGATTACAATCTTGAAAAACTCCACTTTTCTACTATTAGTAAGTTTAGGAAAGCTGGCTGGAATTGGTCTTGCCACACTGGGCAAATTTTTTTTTTCAATCTAAGACAATAAAATTAGCTGGCCACACAGACAGCTGTCCTGTTGCTGTTATTCTAAAGCGAGGCCATCCAGTACCGTGTCTTCATTTAACTGTTTTTGTGCAGATGCAACGTAGTGCAGACATAAAATCTTCATGCTCATGCGCCTTTAAAATAACAACAGAAGTGAAACAAAAATGTAACACTTAAGATGACGGACACTCAACAGACTAGTTGATATCCGGAGACCATCAACTTATCTTGCCCCAACTACAATGCTTGTATTACTTTCCCCACTTGGTGGAGCTAGCAATGTTTTGGCAGAACACTTGGGTTATATGCAGTTTAGAGTAGGGCTTTGCCACTAAACCACTTAACTAATCATTGGCGGGGGGGGGGGGGGGGGGGGGAGCTGGCGCTATATTTATCACAGCCAGGAAGTGGATGCGAGGGACTCATCACTCTTGGGAAACATTTTACATTGTGTCAGTATTAAGGACCAAGTCCAACATTTGATCTTTGATTTTAAAAGTCACTTGGAAAGACACTTAAAGTAATTAGAATAAATTCTTTGGCACACTGTTTAACTTAAGTACAATAACACAATTGTTTAACAATGATGGAAAAAATTTGTTTTGTTTATACAGTAGTTTTTTTATGAACTAGTTTATTTATTAAATACTACTTTAATTTGAATTTTAAAATATTGTCTGCATTTTTAATTAGAAGGCAGGAGTACAAAGAAATATGAATATTTTTTTTCCTCCAATCATTTGCTTCCAACTACAGGAAAAGTGATAAAATAGCTATGCATGGGGTTGCTACCTTTAAAAAAATGCTTTTAGCAGAGGTATAGCTTAGTGTATCTCTGTCAGACTAACAATCTATAGGACAAATGAGATAGTCCATGTTTCTTGACCTCAGCGTATGAAGGGATTATGTGGTCAGCACTTTTCCTAACGTGAGTCAGGTACCCATCAGAGCTGGGTGGACTCTGGCGTGTCCTGCAGTCTCAAGTCCAGTCTGAGATCCAAACTATAGACTTTCAGTCTAGTGTTCAACCACCCAACCACCGCATCATGTAAAACATGATTGTAACGTGATTGCACTTTTTAACCTCAGATAATGTATCAGAGATTTTCCTGTTCAACTCAAAGCAGAGAAATGAATTCTCCTGTTATGTTAGAGCTGAGATTAGTCATCATGCATAACACAGATTCTAATTTCAGACGCTCTATGTTTAGCTATCCATGTTATTACTGTAACAACCCGCTTAATTATAAAATCCATTTTTTTTTTTGTTCCTTTTTTAATTTTTGTAATTTGACTGATAATTTTAAATCTTAATGTATTATTAGTTATTGCTTTCTTTAAATAGCTAAACACCACCACGCTAACTTGCCATCCTCCCACAATAACACAACCCCATATCGCCCCTTACTGACCCACATTACCCCCCCCCCCCCCCCAACTCCCCATCCTTACACTGACACCCCGACTCCCCATCATCCCACAACACAACACTCCATCCTCCCTCAATAACACACATAGCAACCCCACATCATCCCTCACTGACCCACATGATATAGATAAAGATGTAAAACACCCCCACACCCTATCATGGAACACTGACCCAGAAAACACTGACCAACTCACCATCTTCCCACTCTGACCCACATTACTCCCCCCCCCCCCCCACCCCCCCACCCCCCCAACTCACCATCACCCCACCTTGACCCACACGACCCCCCCCCCAACTCCCTATCCTCACACTCAGACACTCCTCTCCTCCCATACTGACCTAAATGACCACCCCCCCCCCCAACTCCCCTCACCCCCCTATCCTCACAGAGACCCACATGACACCCCCCACTCCCATCCTCCCACATAGATAAAGCACCTCCCATAGCTCACTTTGTTTGAACATTCTAGTTTAAAAGCTCAACTTGCCACCAAAACAAATTAAAAGCCAGGCAGGGCATGATGTACTGCAGTGTTGATTGCAGCAGACATTGAACTGTCAGCACACATACCTGACAGGATGGGAGAGGGGAGGTGGGGGGAACACTTGGTTGCTGAGTGAGGACAGCAGATCTAGAGAGATGATACTGCTAGGGTTAGACATACTTCACTGTTGTCAGGTTTACATTTGGATTAGGTTGAGTTTTATTTTTATAGAAGCAGTTCCAAGCACTAACAAGTATGATTTAATAGAATTGGGCATTACTGGATAGGAAATTTTCTTTAATAAAAACATTAAAATACTGTGTAATGGTATTGTTTTTCTTAGTTTTTCTTTATCTGTATTCATGTTAGGGTTAGTGATAGGAAAACTATGGATGGGTTCAGATCTTAGGTAGTGATGCTAGCAAAACATAAATAGTCCATAATACAGTTTGAGTTATACAAGCAAAATATAAATAGCCTGTACTGTAATACAGCTATACAAGCAAAACAAAATAGCCTCTACTGTAATACAACTATACAAGCAAAACATAAATAGCCTCTAATGCAGCTATCCTCTGTTTTAACAAGCACAATGTATTGGTACTGGAGTAATATGCAGGACACAAATGTGCTTGGTCCAATTTCACATTGCAGACAGCTACAACAAGTTAAAAGTAGTAATTTAGGGGTTTAGCTATAAAAAAGGTAATACATCATTTAATCAAAAGCTGTGTAAGGCAAACAGGAGAATCAGGTTTTAGACTGCTATTATGAATCATGTCTTTATAACCTTAAGCCTTAGGCTGCAAGGTTAACCTGTACAATTTAATGGATGGGCCATGTCATTAATTTGTGTCAGTGACAATTTTTCTCATTTAACTCCAGACTGTAGTAAGAGACTGGTAAGCCAGAAACTGAAATGATGGTTCCACTTTTGTTAGGTTTAGGGTGAGGGCTTGATTAATGGTCAGTTTCTTTTGGGATATTGTTTGCGGATGTGCAGTTCTCGCTATCTAATTGTGTTTCTCTGTTTTGGGCATAACATGATATCATCCGAGGTTTATCAATCAATTTTCAGGACCTTAAACAGCCCCTGGCAAAGTGCACAGATATGATGATATGCATCAAACAAATTGAACATTTTTATAAATTAAAAAAAAATGTAAAAAAAAAAAACCTGAAAGATTAGAGCAGCTTAAATCTGAAATTTGAACATGATTGCAATTTATTTCCCTGTGAAAGCTAAATTTTGTTCCATTATTAAACTTGGATTGCTTTGAGATTAAATTTTATAACCAGCATACCTAACCCAGTCTTTATATTATCATTTATGTGTAAATGTAAAAATTATGTTGTATATTGTTTTACGTATCATTAACATTTTAAGTATCAGAAAAATTAATGTGTAATTAATGAAAATCAGTATCACAGCTAAAAAGGAATCCTGTTACTTTAGTAACCAGAAACTTTCAAGTGTAATCCCTTCATTAAATAGATTTACCCCTACATCTGTAATACTTTGTGGGTTAAAAGTTCTTCCATCCCCACACCCGTATCAGTATCAAATTCTGTACCAAAGTGGTTAAACAATATAATTATCTAAGCTCTTTTTATAGGACAAAACATTTTCTTGTGTCCAGATATCATGTCATGTCTACCTTAGTGTTAGTGTGTCAATCAAATGTTAGATGTAAGGTGATTCCTACTTATTGCACCTGTCTGTAGTTAACTTGAGTACTTGACGGCTCAATAAGTATTGATTATTGATTTTCTAGGTAAATATTTTATAGTTTGATAGCTGTAGTGGTTGTTTTATTTTAAACTATAGACAGTGGTTGACTGGTTATTTATATTCCATTAATTGCCTTATGTTATCATTACAAATGTATATGAACTGATTCTTGCATTGAATAGGCCTATATAGTTTCTTTGTGTTGCACACCCGTATATTCTATGACAAGTGTCTGAGTTGCATCTAGGGATGGGGGGGGGGGGGGGCTTAAGTCATCGGAAAAAAATCCCAGGATCAGTGCTGTAATAAGCTTGTTAGTGCTTTGATTAATGTCTTGATTTAATTATGCTATAATGTAATTATGTTATTATTGCAATTTGTAAAGTAAGCTGTGACTTACTAAGTTACTTGGCATCGGTCCTCAAGCTTGAAAATAATGCGTTGAGAAAATTTAAGTTGGGAAGGGGGGGGGGCGCTTTTATTTATTTCTCTGGCCACTTGGTCATGTCAGGCCACCCCTGGTTACACCTTCAGCCAACTCTACTTGATAAAATTCTGTCTGTACATGTTTTGAGTCTTTGTAACAAAGTTATATCATCAGCTAACTCTACTTCATAAAATTCTGTCTTTACATATTTTGAGTCTTTTTATTTTTCACACACGTATCCTTATTTTAATAACTATATAAAATTTACAAACAACACCACCATACCCAATACAACTGATCTCTATCAATAACTGTTAATCAATACAAGTGATAAATCAACACATGACCAGTCAGAATACTAGTACATAGGATACATGCAATGTCTTTTTATTGGGGAATGTCCTGTTATTGGGGAATGTGTTATAAGGGAATGTCTTGTGGTTATGGAATTTCTTATGATTGGGAAATTTCCTGTTTTTGGGGAATGTGTTATAAGGGAATGTCTTGTGGTAATAGAATGTCTCATTATTGGGGAATGTCCTGTTATTGGGGAATTTGTTATAAGGCAATGTCTTGTGGTTATAGAGTGTCTTATGATTAGGGAATGTTTGGTTATTGGGGTATGTCTTGTGATTGGAGAATGTCTTGTGATTGGAGAATGTCTTGCGATTAGGGAATGTCTTGCGATTAGGGAATGGCCTGCTACTATGGGATATCACAAGATTGAAGAATGTCTTGCTATTGAGGAATATCTTACTATAAGGGTAGTACCTTTCTGTCACAAATTATGTATAAACTTCGATATAGCAGTCAGGAATGTAGCCAGTCATTGTAGACTAGAGAGACATTAGTGACTGCTACCTGGACACAACAATACTGTAGACTGTAGACTAACCAGAGTCTAGGTTTAGTTATAGTCTGTCGTAATTACTTATATGGCTTGGACTAAAGGGTAGAGGTGTGGTTAAGGTTACCATACCAGCCTCACCATAATGTTTATGTGGCCATTTCAGCGCCAGAAGAAGTAACCAAAATTAGTTATTTTAAAAACACCATGTCTTTCATTTTGTTAATCTGCCCTGCTCACAGCAGCAGTAAAACTGACCTTGTACAAGACTGTCCTACACAATAGTCTGTCCCCCATTACTGACCAGCTGTTAACTATTTATTTCTTCCAGATACTGCGTATTTACAGAACAGAGAGAAGGGAAAGCCGTACTTTGTCTGTGCCATCCAACGCTTTAATCTTGTAAGTTTTTCAGTTGTTCACATGTTTTAATCTTGTAAGTTTTTCAGTTGTTTACATGTTTTTAATACAGGTACATGTCGCTTCAACTATGTATAATTGCAGGGGTTAAATTAAGTTCCATCAAATGGCAGTACATTTATGGCATCAATGTACACATTATTTCCCTGTAAACACTGTTAGTTCCCTGTACACACGTTAATTTCCTGTGCACATTGTAAGTCCTCTGTACACATTGTTAAACCCCTGTACACATTGTTAAACCCCTGTAAACATTGTTAGATCCATGTACACATTGTTAGCTCCCTTTTCAATTTTGGTTCCTGTACACACTGGTAGTTACCTGTACATATTGTTAGTTCCTTGTACACACTGTTAGTTCCATGTACACATACATTGTTAGTTCCCTGTACACACTGTTAGTTCCATGTACACATACATTGTTAGTTCCCTGTACACATTGTTAGTTACTTGTACACACTGTTAATTTACTATCAGTATGACTAAAATCTACGGCTACATTTATCCTTTTTGCACTAAACTATCCGAATATGAACGAAACCAATTATCGGACATGTTCAAAATTAATGTTAGACGAATCTTCTTCTCCTCCTTGCAATAAATTAAATTGAGCTGGAAATGAATCGATAAATTAAATTTCAAATTACGAATTTCCTCCCCATCTTACAGCATTATGACGAGGTTAACTTTATTTTTATCTCTGTAACGGGGTTTCCCGTAAAACATCATTTCAACTCAAATATAAAAAAAAAAAGAATTGATTTTTCCATAGCGCAAGTTTTCTCCCCTCACACACAAAATACAACAGTTACCTCCCTTCCGTTGCCGTTCTTTAAAGAACCCAGTGTTAATACATTCCGAAGCTTCTTTTCATGTTTCTAAGGGAGAGAATTATAACGTTCTTATAGATCAGGGGGCTCTTTAACTGTATTAGGTTTTGTACACATCTTTTTCACTTCAAGAACGAGACATGATTTTTTTTTCCTCTCAAAGTTTGTACACTTTAATTTTAAGTGTACACAGAATGTGGACAGACTTTGTCATTAATCAACATGAAATATAGAATAGGCCGAAGATGATTTAATTTTTAAGGTTAAAAAGCTTTTTTTTTTTTAAACATGAAACATTTATATAAGGAATTGGATTTTATAGTGACGATATTTTATGTTTGGGAGATGGAAAAATTTATTCTATTGGGTGGAGTTTAGTGAGGGATTTTAAAAAACCAAGTGTTAAGTTTCGAGTAGGAGTTTGGAACTGAGTTACTTTTACATTTTTGAGATGGAATATAATTTGGTCATTTAAGTGGTTTCATGTGTGTTGGGGGGGGGGGGGGGGGTTATGGGTATAAATCTAAACGTAACGAAACTTAAAAGGAAACTTAAGAAACATTTCCGCCTTGATGACTGTGATTAAATGTAGTTTAAAAAAAAATGGAGTGTGAATGCATTTATGATATGTGTTTCCGCGTGTCGTGTGGATGTTTAACATCGTGATTTGTGTTTCCATAGAATTATATGCTTAATTATTTGTGTTTCCCCAAAATGTGGATATTTAATGATTTTCATTTTCCTTATTATGTGTATGTTTAATGATTTGTGTTTCCCTTAGAATGTGGATGTTAAATGATTTGTGTTTCCTTCAGAATATGGATGTTTAATGATTTAATGATTTCCCTAAATGTGGATGTTTAATGATTTCCCTAAATGTGTATGTTTAATGATTTAATGATTTCCCTAAATGTGGATGTTTAATGATTCCCCTAAATGTGGATGTTTAATGATTTCCCTAAATGTGGATGTTTAATGATTTCCCTAAATGTGGATGTTTAATGATTTCCCTAAATGTGTATGTTTAATGATTTAATGATTTCCCTAAATGTGTATGTTTAATGATTTAATGATTTCCCAAAATGTGTGTGTTTAATGATGTGTGTACCTTTATAATGTGTATGTTTAATGATGTGTTTCCTCCCCAGACCAAACGGGATACCCTGATGGTGGGCATCAAATGGTTCTTCCGTTTGTCCGAGGTGCCGGGCAGTGTTTACCATCACCTGACATTGGATAGAGAGCTGCACAGTGAGTACTCACACTTGCTCTACAGCTGGGGGCTATCGCTACCTGTCTTATCTTTCACTTCCTGTGTATGCTGGGACGGGGGGGGGGTGGTGTGTAGACAGGGGTGGGGGTGCTGACATGATGTAGGTAATTAGAAAGGGTGGGGGTCAGTATGTGAAATAATGGGTGGGGGTCATCTGTGTTTTTTGGCCCACCTGTAAAATAACCCGCGTGGGAGTCACCTGTGACTTGTGCTTCTGTGAAACGACCCATGTGGGAATCACCTGTCTTTTTCCCGTGTGTGAAAATAACCCGTGTTGAAATCATCCGAGTTTGGGCCCTCTCAAATAACCCATGTAAGAATTACCTGTGTTTTGTCCTTCTGTGAAATAACCCATGTGGGAATCACCTACATTTGGTCTCTTTGAAATAACCCTTTTGGGAATCACCTGTGTTTGGCCCCCTTTGAAATAACCCATGTGAGAATCATTTGTGGCTGTTTTAGCACACACTGCCAGCCTATGCTAAGTTTAGAAGTAAAAAAAAAAAGTTCTTATGGTAACATTTTTCTTAGACAAGATAGCGCTGATACTTAATAGTTAACAAGTAGTTTTTACACGATAACACAGATTGTACACATTACTTTGTAACTCGAAAATCGACATAGTTTCTGATGTCAACAATATATTAAGTTGTCGTTTGTGTTGTTTGCTTATGTTAACTAAAAAAGAAACGTGAATTCCCCCACCCCACCCCAGGATACCATAACATTAGCTACAGGAGTAGTAACACATGTGTTGGATATTGTCATTTCTCTTGCCCACTTACGTGGCACTCCCCCCCCCCCATGGGGTGGGGGTGAGTCGGGGGTGGGGAAATGAGAGTAGAGCGGTGTCTTGAACTATAATTCCTAGCCTTGTTTTGATCAGTCTTCAACTCTGGCAATACGATACCGCTTTAGCCATTTCTTCCTTGTACTGTTTTAATTTGAAACAGTAGAAGGTAGTTCTTATCTATGTGATCAAGATAATTGATTATACAGCTACTCGTATATCTTTAAAAAAAATTGGACGATTTGTTTTAAGATAGCACGATTTTATTGAGCTGAATTTGTAGCGTTGCAGTAGTCGCTTCATCGCTCACACGTAGGCCGACTACAGTCTGTCACACGTAGGTCGACTACAGCCTGGCACACGTAGGCCGACTACAGCCTGTCGCACGTAGGCCGACTACAGCCTATCACACGTAGGCCGACTACAGCCTATCACACGTAGGCCGACTACAGCCTGTCACACGTAGGCCGACTACAGCCTGTCGCACGTAGGCCGACTACAGCCTGTCACTCGTAGGCCGACTACAGCCTGCCACACGTAGGCCGACTACAGCCTGTCGCACGTAGACCGACTACAGCCTGTCGCACGTAGGCCGACTACAGCCCATTACCAACTTCTGACAAATCCACCTAACACTCGCCGATTGAATTCACTCGACAAAAACCTCGCTACGGTTAACCATCACGATCTCAAAAATGTATTTTTAAAATCCCTGACAGTGACTCTGGTCTCGTGTTTTCTCGTGTTTGACGTTCAGTAACGAGAGATGAGGGGAGAGAAGTGGAGTTTAAAAATGATAAATGCCCCCAAGCGATTTTTTTTTGGTGTGTGTGTTGTTGGGTTAAAATTTGATATTGATTTCGTTGGGTGAGTGTGGTGTTGATTTTTATTTGATTATCTTTATTTTGTCATGACAATAAAGAAAAGCTTATTAGTCACCGAGTTCACTATCGACGATTTAAATCCAGTGCCCTCAAACCAAGGGACGCTAACGTACAATTATAAATCTAATTTCACCGGGGGCGGGTCTGGAAATTAATTTGTATCATTACCTCCCTGCACACTTGACTGATTCTCCAATCTACCGAGACCTTAAAGACCAAGGAACCGTAATCCACAACCTTTGGTCTAGATAAGTATTCCTCTCTTTAGAGTTGTTGTTCTTTGTTACATACTCGCTCTTACAGCCTTAGGGGCTGGAACTATAATTAATGACATTTATGTTGGATTGATTTTTTTTCCTCTCTTTTAACACTTGAAAAAAAAATAATGACCACGTTAGTGCTGATTATAAAGTATGGAGGTAATTGTTCTTGGTCGGAAACACCATTGGTTCTTTCGGTTATCTCCCTGTTATTTGACGGATCAAGGGAGAGAAATGTCATGCTCCACACAACGGGATCAGCCAAGGGAGATAACGTCGTTGTATTTTTTCCTGTATTGATGTGGTATTGAGCCAGGCAGAGACGGTATGCTTTGTACATTTTTTTTTTATCCGTGGGTAGTATATGGACGATACGTGACTTTGTGAAGGATATGTTAGTGTTGGAGTCAATACTAGCCTCGACCCCCATCTGTTGGTCGCTACTACATGCTTCTAATCAAATGTGGCCTACGCTCACCTAAAGTAGGGACTGAGGGTTACAAAAGGGGGAGGGGGTGAAGAAATGGACCAGGGGATGAGATGGTTTGAGTATAGGTATCACGTGGTGGTATCACAAAGAGTGGTGCATGTGTTATGATAAAGTAGGTGTAGATCTTGCTAGCTGCGGGTAGATCTATGTTGATGTGGAGAGCTGGTTAGGAGTCTGACGGTATTGTGGTGGGCGTAGAGCACGACGTACAGTGTAAGTTTAGATGTACAGACGTCATTAGTGAAGGACAAACGTCATTAGTGTAGACTAAATGAAGAACAGACGTCATTAGTGTAGACTAAATGAAGAACAGACGTCATTAGTGTAGACTAAATGAACAGACGTCATTAGTGTAGACTAATTAAAGGACAGACGTCATTAGCGTAGATTATATGAAGGACAGACGTCACTAGCGTAGTCTAAATGAAGAGCATACGTCATTAGCGTATATTACAATATGTCCGGACGTCCTTACTCAGGACATAAATCTTAGAAGTGAACGGAAACATTGCATTTAAAAAAGCTAGACACTGCAACATATTTTTTAAAGCAGACCAAACCTAGACATAAAAAATGGCACAGACAAAACCTATGAACAGAAAAATAGGCAGACAAAACCTATAAACAGATAAAAGGCAGACAAACCCTATAGAAAAAAAGGCAGACAAACCTAGACACACGACGACACTAACGACCAAGAAGAGATCAATACCTCTCCGACCTTCTCACACGTTGAAATATCTGCTCCTTTTATAAGAAGGTCAACTAATCCAACTTTCTTCGTTTGAAGCATCACTTGGATTACTCTTTCTAAAGCCTTGGCATTAACCCATCGCTGTCTCGTGGAAATGTATTGTCTGACAGCAAGCTGTGGCAGGGCACTTGATATTGGGGGCATGGACAGGGCACTTGATATTGGGGGCATGGGCAGGGCACTTGATATTTGGGGCATGGACAGGGCACTTGATATTGGGGGCATGGGCAGGGCGCTTGGTATTTGGGGCATGGACAGGGCACTTGATATTGGAACATGGACAGGGCACTTGATATTGGAACATGGACAGGGCACTTGATATTGGGGCAAGGGCATGGCACTTGAAATTGGAGCATGGGCGAGGCACGAAGCAGAGCACTTGATATTTGGGCATGGGTAGGGCACTTGATATTAGGGCATGGAGTCAGATATAGGGGCATGGAGGAGGGCATTATATTTTAGCGCATTGGGGCAGTGCACGGGACAGGGCACTTGATATTTAAAGCATGTGACAGGCACGATATTAGGGGCATTGTGCTGAGCTGCTAGAGAACTTATTGGTTGAGCAAAAGCAGCTAAGCCCACGTTTTGGCTCTGTTAGGGCACTTGGTATTCGGGGCATGGGGCGGTTGTTAGGGCACTTGGTATTCGGGGCATTGGGCGGTTGTTAGGGCACTTGGTATTCGGGGCATGGGGCAGTGGAGCAATATGGGTTAACCAATCAGTGAAAGATCCCTCAGTATTGGGGGGGGGGTGTGACTGATGTAGGGGCAAACGATTAGACCCGTCGAGTGCTGGGGGCACTTAACGCTAGGCGAGAAACACCCGGCTGTAGTTTCACCCCACGGTGTAGTTGAGGGCTGGGCCATTTAGTCGTAGAGAAGCATTAGAAGACTGTAAATGGGCACGAATTGGGTGGGGGAGGGGTGTCGTACTATGAGTATGGGGGCGTCATACTTTGAATTGGCACATAACGGACTGGGGGTGGGGGTGATAGTATGGCGGGAGGAAGGGGGTGTTAGGTAATGTTTTAATTCCAAAATACAAGGAGGCCTATACTGTAACCACTCCTATACGTATACTATTACAACATGGCTTGTACCCCAGGACCGGTTACTGTAATGTACAGCCATCATGCCCACAGCCATCATGCCCATACAGCCATCATGCCCACACAGCCATCATGCCCATACAGCCATCACGTCCATACAGCCATCATGCCCATACAGCCATCATGCCCATACAGCCATCATGCCCATACAGCCATCATGCCCGTACAGCCATCATGCCCACACAGCCATCATGCCCATACAACCATACAGCCATCATGCCCATACAACCACACAGCCATCATGCCCACACAGCCATCATGCCCATACAGCCATCATGCCCAAACAGCCATCATGCCCATACAGCCATCATGCCCATACAACCATACAGCCATCATGCCCGTACAGCCATCATGCCCATACAGCCATCATGCCCATACAGCCATCATGCCCATACAACCATCATGCCCACACAGCCATCATGCCCACACAGCCATCATGCCCACACAGCCATCATGCCCAAACAGCCATCATGCTCATACAGCCATTATGCCCGTACAGCCATCATGCCCATACAGCCATCATGCCCATACAGCCATCATGCCCACACAGCCATCATGCCCACACAGCCATCATGGCCATACAGCCATCATGCCCATACAACCATACAGCCATCATGCCCGTACAGCCATCATGCCCATACAGCCATCATGCCCACACAGCCATCATGCCCACACAGCCATCATGCCCA